GAAAGCAATATTGCTTCACAATTGTTAGTATTCAAAAGGAAATTTCAGTGTCCCTGGTGAGCCAGACAAAGCTACAGATGTCCACTCTTTGTCTGTACACACCCAGAATGGTAAGCCTTTTCTGAACTGATAACAGGATACTCCTATCTCACTTCAGTATGAAAAAAACACAGGTACTCCTTTTGAGGAAAAACTACTGCAGTCCTCTCAAAAGATAGTTGTACTTTCAAACACATGATGATTCCAAGTTGAGTTTCTGTTTAGATTCATATTTCTGGGCTGACTTTTCAGCAACATATTGTCTTCCAAAAGGGAGGTGGCTTACAAATTCCCAATTGAAATGGGAGCGTGCTTATAAATCACCAGACTGAGCTATGGGACTTTGTTGAAGAGATGAATGAACTGGGAAGACCTTGGGTGGATCTCAAAATCTCAATAAATCTCAATACATATTACTTCCTTAAAGTGCTGAGCAGATAAGGTGAGATTACTGTAATTAAAATGTTATGTTTCCGATGAAAATGAGAACCTCAGGGCAAACTTCTAGACATGGGTGTGAACTCAATGTCATGTCACACTTGGCATGTTTTGAAGTATTTTGAGGAAAGTAAGTACTATCTCTTAATACTGTGATTAAAACTTTATTTGAGGCCTGGTCAGGTGGATTGATTGGTTGGAGTGTCCCATACGCTGAAAGGTTGCAGGTTCTGTTATAGGCAGCAGGAACAGCACCAGGTACTAGACCCTTGGGGTCAGACCAGACCTGGGTTTAGCAACCTTGGTACTTGGATTCTAGATAGGAAAGAATTCAAAGCCAAGACACAAAGTATAAGAGAACATCTGTATATATAAAAGCCTATGTGACTGTCTGACCATCTGACCAGTAGCTATGACATGTACTGACCACCAGGGGGCAGACACTCAACGCAGGAGTGGAAACCACAGGCATGGGAACATGGAACAGACTGATGAATCTCAGAGGGAAAGGGGGAGGAGGAGGGTGGGAAGAGATTAACCAAAGATCTGATATGCATACCAGAGACCCAATGCATGAATTGGTGCACGGATGGGGGCTGGTTGGCGGGGAAGAGGGGCCCGGTGCATGGATTCATGTACTGGTGGGGTCCCTCGGCCTGGCCTGTGCCCTCTCACAATCCAGGACCCCTCAGGGGATGTTGGGAGAGCCAGTTTCAGCCCAATCCCCACCGGCCTGGGTGAGGGACCCCGTCCTAGTTTATTTATAAAATCAGAGGTAGAAAAAGTAATTTGTAGAAGAAATGGACTTAGGAAATAAGTTATAGAGGTAAAGGAAGGGCCCTAGGAGCTTGGGAGTGAGGAAGCTAATAGTAATGTGCCAAGGGTGAGGGGAGAAGGAAGGGGGAAAGGAAAGGCACAGGTGTTCTCCTGGGAGGGAGAGTGCACTGGGTCCCCAGTCCTAAGGGTTTTAAGGGTGGAGACTTTAGGGGAGGTACCGGGGGAAGATCTCAATAGACTCTTCAACAGCTTTCCATAGGTCTTCACTGATTGGTTGGCGCCAGTGCAGGGGGTCATTATCCAATGCACTGGTCCTGAGGTCAGCCTTGGTGTTGCTTGTCTGGTTTTGCTGCTTTTCTAGACCTGGAAATACAATTGAGGCATAGATGTTATCTCTAGGGAGGAAAGGTCAGGGGGTCTGTACCACATGACCAGTGATATGCTAGGGGAAGAAAAGTCACCCTGAGGGCTAGGCCCCACCCTACAATTGTCCTTTGCTAGGCATCCAGAGCTTTCCACCCTGGTGACCTTCTGTACCTGGCCCATCATCCTTGCTCTGCTCCTATCTAACTGCCTACCACAGTTCTATTCCTGGTCAGGGTACATACCTAGGTTGCGGGTTTGATTCTCAGTCAGGGTGCTTACTAGAGGCAGCCGATCTATGTGTCTGTCTGTATCTCTCTCTTCCTTTCTCTAAAATCAGCGAACATATCTTTGGGTAAGGATAACGAAACAAAAACAACAAAAACTTTATTTGATACAGTAATGTCTTTCAGATACCAATATTTCTTTGTTTTCATAAAAATGTATTAGAATGTGAATAAGGAACACAAGAACGTGTTTATATCCTTAACCTTTTACGCTACAATGGGGTGATAGCTCCTTGTGGTTTTCATTTGTATTTCCCTGATGATTAGTGATGTTGGGCACCTTTTCATGTATCTGTGGGCCATCCATATACTCTCGTTGGAAAAATGTCTATTCAGATTCTCTGCCTATTTATTATTATTATTATTATTTTAAATATATTTTTATTGATTTCAGAGAGGCAGGGAGAGGGAAAGAGAGAAACATCAATGATGATGCCTTCTACACGCCCCCTACTAGTAATTGAACTGTGACCTCCTAGTCATAGGTCAATGCTCAACCACTGAGGCTCACTAGCCAGGCCTCTCCCTATTTTTAATCGGATTTTTTTGTTTGCTATTGAGTTATATGATTATTTTTCTGTATTTTAAATATTAACCCCTTTTTAGGTATATGATTTGCAAATATTTTCTCCTATTTGGTGGGTTTCCTTTTCATTTTGTTGATGGCTTCCTTTGCTGTGCAGAAGCTTTTTAGTTTGATGTAGTCTCACTTGTTTATTTTTTGAAGCTGATGAATTTTTAAATTAAGTCATTTGGCTAGGGTGATTACTGTTTGTAAGGTTGTGGCTAAGACAATTAACACCTGAAGTTAAGACTTCAGAGAGTGAATAAAGACATTGCATGGGCCCATCTCATATCCACAGCTGCCTGCTTTGGCTTAGATGTGCAAAATAGCAAGTCTTTGGACTGAAGTTTTTCCTCAGATTTTTACTCTATTTCAACCTCTGTTAGAGTGCTTATGAGCATGTGAAACTTTTCTTGATGACTTGTCTTAGAGCTGGGGACTGCTGAGTCACTAGAACTCAGATTCCAGAGACTGTTTCGCCCCTCCCATGCAGGACGTGCTGCTTTGGTGTAGATCCCATCAGTAGGGAAGTCTGACTCCATGGGAGGATGATGGGTTGGCTTCTTTTGAGGAAGGACTCAGAGAATTTTCTTATGGGAGTGCATGCCAGCTTTGCACATGCTGATGGTTAGAGAATAAGCCCTTGTTAAACAAAAAGAGAAGAAGATATCATTTCTATGTTTCATCGAGAAAGTACTCGGGAGAAGGGACTGACCCCGATGGCCATAACATTAGGTGAGGCCAGGATCTGCTGTGTGCATCCTTCCCTTTGATCTGCTGGTAGCTGGTGCAAAAGGTAGCTTCAGTTAGGGTTACAGAGTCATATAAAAATTCAAAGGCTGGAGGAACCTGATGTGGCTTCAGGTCCAGACAGTGGTTTTGGAGCCAGCTCATATTAGTAGTAGTTGTTACATTTTCAGGAATTTTGCATGTCAGTTGTAAAATATAGCCATTATTAAAATTATATAAAATAGCATTAAATAAATTACATTAAAAACAAAGATAATAAATACTAAGATCCATCACTTTCTAATTAGTTTACTATACTTTACTATCACCTACATTCTTGAGGTTACTTATGTCTATTGCATCTGTTGGAAATACTGTTGGTGTTGCTGTGACAGTAGCTTGAAGGCAGACACGGTGAAGACATGTGGAGCACAGTGAGACAGTGCTTGGTGAGTGCTGGCCAGCTGACATGTGTGGGAAGGCTTGTTCTTCATGGGATTTCCTTTGAGGGTGATGTCAGGGCTCCAGCAAGTGCTACAAACAAATGCCTTTTTTTAAATTCAGAAAGACAGTTACTAAATATTCGCTAGCACCCACTGGGCCCAGCCCACTCATTTGTGTGTGTGAGACTGGGGCACGGAGAGGAACAGGGGCTTGTCCAAAGTCCTGCAGCCAGTACCTTGTGGGACCAAGACTCAACTTGGGTCTCCTGGTGCCTGTCCAGGGGCTCTTTCTGTTACAGTGCACAGAGGTATTAGTAGTGACAAGCACCTGGGTTAGGGTCAGCTTAGCACCCTCTCCTGGGGTCCTCTCTCACAGGTGAAAGCGCTGTGGGACTAGGGTCATAAACGAGCAGAGGGGAGGATTGACACAAATCAAATGCAGCTGCCAGAGGGGTGGTCATGCGCTCCCTGGTGATCATAAGTGGGACAAGTTTTGAGGTGGGAGGTGACAGAGACTGGATACTGAACTCTGTCTGTAGTTTGTGGCAGGGGTCCTCAAACTTTTTAAACAGGGGGCCAGTTCACTGTCCCTCAGACCGTTGGAGGGCCGGACTATAGTTTAAAAAAAAACTATGAACAAATTCCTATGCACACTGCACATACCTTATTTTGAGGTAAAAAAACAAAACGGGAAAAAATACAATATTTGTATTTGCATGTGGCCCGCGGGCCATAGTTTGAGGACCCCTGGTTTGTGGTGATAAAGTTATTGAATGGAAGAATGACTAAAGAATGAGCAACTTTTATCACCACCTGATATTGTGTTATGTATGTATTTGCTTTTTTATTATAAATTTCCCCATAGGATTGTAAGCTCCACGAGGGTAGGAACCTTGTCTTGCATGCCGCTGTACACCCTGCTCACAGAATAGTGCCTGGCACATAGAAAGTGCTCATAAATATTTTTGAATGAATGAACAATGCTGCTCATGGTTGGCATTACATAGCCCAAATCCCCGGGGGAAGTTTTGCCTAGAACAGTGGTTCTCAACCTTGGCTGCACATTAGAATCACCTGGGAATCTTTTTAAAATCCTGATTTCTGGGCCTCATCCTCTGGACATTCTGTTTCTTTGTTATGGGGTGGGGCCACAACATTAGTAACAAAGAAACAGAATTTCTGGAGGATGAGGCCCAGAAATCAGGATTTTAAAAAGATTCCCAGGTGATTCTAATGTGCAGCCAAGGTTGAGAACCACTGGCCTAGAGGAATGTGCCTGGTGGAGGCCAGCACAGGGACCCTCTCACTGTTTGCCAGACTGCTAGACCCTAGGTGACCATCATTTCTCTTTCTTCTCAGATGACGGAGGGCCGTCGATGTCAAGTACATCTTCTTGATGACAGGAAGCTGGAACTCCTAGTACAGGTAAAAATGACTTTGGGTCCACTTTCTAAGTTTCTTCTGTGACTGATGTGGTTGGCTCACACTTGGATTCAGCTGAGGTGTGGGCAACAGTGTAAACGATTTTTCAGCCTAAATCAGTACAAATCTCTGAGAGAAGATTAGGACACACCCTAGTATTTTTGTGTGTGATTGCTATTTTTGTTCATTCTGTTTCTTTGCACACCACGCCTAAGGCATTCAAGGTCAGATGTATATCTAACCTATTGTTGCAAATCTCTAGAAAAGGAAATCCCACAACTGCCATTAGCTATTCTTTATGCTTGGAAGAAGTTAATTATAATATAACCTAAATAACTCTTGCTGCAGCCAAAACTGGTTTAATTGTCTAAAACACAGTTCATTATTTCAAGTTAAGCTTTCATAGTGATGAAGAAAGGGAAGCAATCTCTTGGCTCTGTCTCCCCTTTAAGAGCTGAGTAAGCACCTGACGCCATCCTGTGCGTCAACATTGCCATCTCCCTTGAACATCTGGAGAAAATGACAGAGGAAATCAATCAATGTGTCTCCGACCTAAGAACACATCAGTGTCAGGGAAGTCCAAAAAGTAATTAGGCTCAAAGACCCTGGTCTTGCTCAACTTACTCTTGAAAAAACCATTGTTTTACCCAGAGCCCTAAAGAGTGGCGAAGTTTCCAAACTTGATTTAAATAACTTAATTCCAAATCTGTTGCTCAACTCCAACTTTTGTAACTGTATTTGCTTGATATTCTCAGATGTCTATCAAATTCATAGGGCACTGCTCCTTATCCATGACAGTTTGCTGGGAAGAAGCTACAGTTCATCAGTCAGTTGCAATGACACCCGCATGCTCCCTCCCTGGGGAACCACACTGCACCAGGGTGGAGAGTCACATAGAAGTACTCTCCTCTCATGTTCCCTTGTACATGCCACGTGGATTTCAAAGTGTTCCAGCTGCTAATTTAAAAAGTTAATACTTTTAATAGGAAATAAGTTATAAAGACATTATAAACACAATGTAGGAAACAGAGAAAATAGGAAACAGCTCATAATCACAGCACACTAAATCAACTACTCTTCTCATTTTGGCATATCTTATATTTCTATTTATATTCCTTACATGGTTGTGATCATAATGTATGTATAATTCTATATATTTTTTCCACTTAACATTGTCCTTCACTAGCATTTTTCAAGTTATTATCAGTTGTCATCTTTGTTAATGGCTGCATAAATTCTAGAAAAGGATATACCATTATTAGCTAATCATTCACCCTTTTGAGTACATTTAAGGATCTTTTGTTGTTTTGTAATTTTTTCCGCTATGACAAGGAAATGCTGTGATTAATTTATCCACATATATAGAGTTCTCCCACATTTTGGATTATGTCTTTATTAGGCTAGATTGCAAGGTCTCCAGTCTTATGAAGAGTCAAACTTGTGATCTGGGTTGGGGTGTGAGTGGGTAGAGGGGACTATAAAGGAGCAAGATCTCTTCAGTAAGCAGGATCAGGACTAGCAAAGTGCTTGGAGCTTTAAGTTGTTAAGAATCAGTGTGAGCCCTTCACAGGTGAGTGGTCTGCAGTGCCCTAGATGCTCTTTTTGTAGCAAGGCTTGGAGGTTTCGATAGCAGCCCACCTCTGAAACAGGAAGTGAGGCCTCCGTGACAGTGAAGGCACCTTCTCTTGGCCAGCCTGCCCTGGGAAGACTGAATGGAGGCATCTGAAATGGACTCGAGTCACAGAAAATATATTTTATTACTGGATGGGCACAATTTTAGAGAGGCCATCTTCAGCCCTTAACTATCAAGAAAATGTTGAATTAGACCAAGCAAGAATTCATACTCCTCCCATCTCTTTTTAGAAAATACTTCATGTGATTCCCTCTTCCTAGAACACTCTTTCCCACCTGTCCCTGTACCTGGCTGATTTCTGTTAAGCTTTCAGACCACAGCTTAGAAAATGCATCCCCCCCCCACCCCAAGGCTTTCCCTGGCCCTACCCTCTGCCCCTCCATAGCTGGGTCTTAGCTGCCACCCGCCCCTTCCCTCTTACAGCACTGTCATTACTCATTGTCACATTCACTGTCATTGCCTGTTTACTTGTCAGCATTTCCCAGAGCCACCAACAAATTAAGGACTGGCTCTGTTTTTTGATCACTGTATCCCCAGTACCCAGCCCATGTCTGGCACACATGTCAGTAAAAAACAAAAATAAAGAAAAGAGTGAATCCTAAGGTTCTCTAGTGTTACTTCCCCAAATGACTTACTTCTTGCCATAGAACCATTGCTTGGCAGGGGATTTACTTAGGTTAGTGCACAATAAATAAATAATAAATAACTAAATAAATAAAGCCCAGCCAGTGTTGCTCAGTGGTTGAGCATCAACCTAAGAACGAGGAGATTACAGTTCAATTCCAAGGTTGGGGCCTTTGCCCCGATTGCAGGCTCATCCCCAGTGTGGGAAGTGCAGGAGGCATCCGATCAATGATTCTCTCATATCATTGATGTTTCTATCTCTTTCTCCCTCTCCTTTTCTCTCTGAAATCAATAAAAAATATAAAAATAAGTAAATAAACAAATAAATAAATAAGGAACAATTCTGCAAAACTTTGGGAAACAAGGTTAAAGTTATTTGACAAAAGCCAACTTAAAATAGGACTTTTCTTTGTCATCTACAAAGTTTTGTTGTTCAGGATTATGTTCTTTTGACAGAATCATTTCTAAAGGGAATCCCTATTCTCCAGCTCTTTCAGTCATCTCAGGGTTTTTAGCAGCATAAAACATTATGACTTCATACCCTTCTTTTTTATATTTTAAATTCACAAAGTGATGAGATCCATTATTGCTAAAGGTTTTGTTGTTATTGTTGAACGATTTCAGAATATTTGTAAGAAGCCTTAGACTAAGCAACGCCTTTCAATGTTTCCGCATTTACCTGACAAGGTTTATAAGACAGAAAGTGGGGTTTGGGGATTGTAGGAAATGGTTATTTCCCAGGGAGAAGCACAGGGGTGTACACCAGGGTGACTGACTGACAAACATTCCTAAGTAGCACAGAGGTGGGAGGTCTAGTTTTTCGATCATTAATTATTAGGTAAGAGACACATCAAAGGCTACACCTCAGACCTTCAGAAGCAGGAAAAGACTGAGCTGACAGAGTCAGCAACTAACAATTGCTTCCCACCAGGAGGAAGCTGTTAAGCAGTCTACCACAGGGACAGTTTTCTGCAGTGGTGTAGACCTGGTCACTGTACTGGTAGCATTTCCCTTCTCTGGATTACAGAGTAAAATGGCCATAATCCCCAAATGTAATGCTTTTTCTAAAGCCCTTTGAGATTTCCGAGTGAAATCTCCTTCCAGACCCCTGACTGCCCTGAGTAATTTTGCATCACTCATATGGAGGGAAGGGAAGGTTAAGAGTGCACATACTGGGATTTCATATTCGAAAGGCTCATCCCTAAATCCACAGGCAGGCCCTTGTCACCAGGACATTGCTATGTGACTTTTTCAATCATTGGATTCCTCTTGAGGACAGCTGCAATGGTGATGTGAGCATTCAGTAACAAGTTAACCTCAGTCATACATGTGGGGCAGGTGGTCCAGCCAGATCACCCTCCCATCCAATCCGGAGACAGTGTCTTTTGCTTTGTCATCCAAAATTGTTTCAACCAACTAGAAACATACTCGAAAAGCCTGTGTCAGAACGAGAGAGGCCACCATCATGGGTGTCTCTCAGTCAGCCTCTGCCTGAAGCTTCCGTAGCCAGACCAGAGGGTGCCTGCAAGTTTTGCATTGAGCTTTACAAGTCTTGGCTTCATATGGTTATTCCTTTAAAATGACTTTCTTCATTTTTCTCTGATCTGAATGCAGATTTGGGGGAGCATTTTGAAAGCGGAGAAAAGGAAACGTGGTTCAGCCTTAGTTAGAAAAGGTAACTAAGACAGAGAAGAATTTCCTGACAGTGAGGGTCTTAAGGTAGAAGCCATGAACAGGGAAGGTTCAGGCTCTTTCTCCTGGGAATCTTAAAAAAGGGATAGGTTTTCATTAGTTTGGAATGGCCGAGGGGTAGCCAGCCTTCCTTATTAGGCTCTCTGAGGCTGAGCTGCTGTATGGTCCCCTGTCCTACAGGAAGACAGGCCAGGGCGGGAAACAGCCCCGGGCCTTCTGCTCCAGAGGCACCGGTGTCAGGGCGTTCCCCGCACTTCAGATGAGTCCTTGCCATCCCCCAACTCGGCGGCAATGAAATCCGCTTCTTTATTATTAAATTTATTTTTAGTTACAATTGACATAAAATATTATATTATTGTCAGGTGTACAGC